TTCTATGCGCATGACTGTATCTCTCTGTGTCATTATGGTCGAGATTACAAATAACTTAAAGCTTTTACCTCTGATAATGCTGGTTCTTCTTATCTCAAAGGTGAGTTTTGATGCTGGACAGCTTACAATACTCTCCGGCTGTCTTTTCATTGACATAGGACTAAGGGTCACCCATGTTTAGGCTGTTGGTGATGCTTTTAATGAAGGATTATATGAAGAGCAGGCTAGATTAAGGGCAATCCCATTACTTGAATCTAAACCAAAGTATCAAATGCGTTATGTGACGGCAAAGGAGGCATGTGGGAATCAAAAGGTAAGAGTTTCTTCAGTGCCCTTGTCATGGTCCGGTCCAACTAGCAGATGCTTGTTTCCTTGTTTGTGTGGAAGGTCATCTTTTTGCGGAATTGAACCAAAAACGGTTGTTGGTTTCTTCACCCTTTTCTAGTTGAAGTTATTGAGCTAGCACTCTTGTTTGATTTGGATGGCTGAAATCTTACTTCCTTTCTTGTTATTTTATTTCTGCTAAATGCAAGTGTAGAAGCAGCTCTGTATCCATGATACTTCAATAATGACCTCTACGTTCATGCTGCTGGGAAGGCCATCTGATTTAACCATGACTAATAATCTGAATGCATAATACTCTTCTGGCCCCCACCTGTGCAGTGGCTGTTCAAATTGTGGCTCACTAATCGCCCCTAATTCCTGCATCTTTTAGGTTGTATACTTCCCGCGGGTAGTGAAGGTGGCAGATGTAGTTTCTATATTGAGGAGCAATAACCACAATGGTTTCCCTGTAAGTTAAGCTTTGTCCCTCTGCAGTGTTTAATGGAAGCTATCTTCTTGTTTAATCATTCTTCTTACTCGTTGATTTTTAGGTTGTTGACCACGCAAGAAGTGGGGAGACACTTGTTATTGGACTTATACTAAGAAGGTGAGAGATAGCGATGATCTTTTCTATTATTAATGCATTATTTGAAGTGACAAAAATTTCTGTGCGAAGATCATAATCAGTAGACTTGAGCAATATATTTATTCTATCTTATTGATACTGCAGTCATTTATTGGTGCTTCTACAATCAAAAGTTGATTTTCAGCATAGCCCTTTACCCTGTGATTCAAGAGGTGATCTCTTGCCAATCAGGTAACTCAGTTGAACTATTACCAAGGATTGCTTATTGGTGCTTCTTTGTCCACTACATGTAAATTTTACAGATTCTGTATTTCACAGGCACAACCTTAGTGAATTTGTGAAACCCGTTTCTAGTAAAGGGATATCTCTCCATGATATTCATTTCACCCTAGATGATCTGGAGATGTACATTGATCTAGCCCCATTTTTAAACCCGTCTCCCTACGTGGTCCCAGAAGACATGTCATTAACCAAGGTAATGTAGTCACTTATTCTAATTTTTGCTTCTTCTAATGCTTTTTCTTTATTAATTTTCAAGGCATTAGTTTGCTAACGGTCGCATGAAATTGGAGACTTAGGTTTAGTTATTTTGAGTCTAAAGGTGCAAGACGAGTTTATTTCACTCATGACTGGGACTAAGTTTAGCCATGGTGAACTTCAAATGATCAAAATGTTTGACATTCTGTTAATGGTACAGGTTTATAATCTTTTTCGTCAACTAGGACTGAGGCACTTACTTGTTGTTCCACGTCCTGCTCGTGTTATTGGCGTGATCACTCGAAAAGATCTGATACTTGAGGTACTTTAGCTAGACCTATCTTCATATATACTTAAAGTGGTTATTTTTTGGTTCAAACCATTCATCTGAACGAAGCGGGGTATTAACTGGGAGAGGATAGAGGGGCAGATCCATACTACCCCAAGCTTCAAACCTGTGGGCCAACATGGGTTGGACCAGCTCACTGGGGATTTCTCGGTTAATTTAAAAGAAAAAAAAGTGGTTACCGTATTTTCAATTGATGTTAATAGTCCAGACTTTATATTGCAGAATAATGATGATCCGGCGGCCTTAGAGCTCCAATCCACTAGTGTAAGGTCTCTTTCTTTACTCATACTGATGGACATCTATTCTGTTTTGATTATTATGGATGTGCGCCTGATTTTTTGTCAGTTATCCTGTGACAGCTACAACACAAGTACCTAAAATGTCTAAACATACTAGTGGATGCAAATAGGTCTTCCATACAGTAAAGCATCGCTGGTGGTTCATAACACAACACAAAATATATATGATGTGTGAGAGTATACAGATTCCTGATAGTGTAGAATACCTGAACTTAAATTTTACTCTCCCAAGAGAGTTAGGAAATCAAAATCAAAACAAGTTTCGTGTGTTCACCAGTAGAGGGAGGAGTCCCATTTAACCAACAGATATATTTATTTGAAGCGGTAAAGCCTCGTATCTCCATAAGAGAAGAGTGAGGATCGTTTGGTAGGGTGCATAAGAATAATGTTGAATATGGTGTATTAGTAATACTGGTATTAGTTATGCTTGCATTAGTTATGCTGGTATTAGT